GCTCAGCTTGTTAAGGCAGACGTGAGGAAAATTCCTTCTGAGGGCAATAAAGAAGGCAAGTAAAAGTGGTAATCGAGAGGCTCGGTTAATTTTCCAGGGACCCAGGTTCAAATCCCACCACTGCAGATGGAGTTTGAATTCAATTCAAAAAATGTCAGGAATTAAGAGTTTCATGATGATCAATTATCAATTGTCAGAAAAGCTCATTTAGGTCAGTATGAGTTAAATACTTCAGGGAAGGAAAGTGCCATCCTTATCTGGTCCGGCCTACATGTGACTCCAGACACTTGGCAACGTGGTTGACTCTTAACTATCCTCTGAACATTCAGGGATGGGCAATAAACGCTGGCCAGTAACATCCTATGAATGAATGAATTATAAAAAATGAATTTGTAGAATTCTTTACAAGTGTCTTGACAAGCCTAGCTCATTGAGTATACTGAGATAACAGGGTGTAGAGCTGGATGAACACAGCAGGCCAAGCAGCATCAGAGGAGCAGGAAAGCTGACGTTTCGGGCCTAGACCCTTTTTCAGACCCTTCTGCAGTTCCTACTATCTCATTGAGTATACTAATGGGTTATGGGGGAAAGGGCACAAAGGTGGAGGAAAAGGGTTATCAGATCAGCCATGATCTCTCTGAATGATAGAGAAGATTGGATGGGTCGAATGACCTACTTCTGTTCCTGGTTGATTGGCTTCCATAAACTACTTCAGAGACCACTAAGTCGCATTGAAGTCACGTATTGTCCAGACTAGTTAAAATTGGTGGGTCTCCTTCCTTTAAGGTCACAAGGGAAGGACGTGTTTTTACAACAATATGATGATTCCACTCAATCACTTTCACCGACTTTCACACACGCAGGCCCAATAACAATGGGTTATTAGTCGTGCATAATTACCACTACACTATGATATCCCTTTTAGCCTGAACTAGTGAAGTGTCAGTGTCACTAGGGCTAAATTACAGCTGTATAGTGTTACATGTATCAGCTAGGTATCTCACCTTCTACAACTACATTTCAAGGTCAGGTTGATGTGGCCATGAACTCCAAGCTGTAACAAGAAGGGGAGAGATACAGGGATAAGCAAAACATCATTTGCAAATACCTTCGGAGAATGATTATTCTGATGGAAAATAATTCATTTCATTTTTGATACCATTCTCTGTGACCCTTTCAAGTCATCTTTTAATGCATTTAAATCCCCTCATCTCTAAACTAAAAGCTCACTAATCACTATCCCCAGACTAAAAGAAAATTATCTTAAAAAGATCCAACAAACCAAAACTATTAACCCCCTTGGAAATTAAGCAAAGAAATGTCCATTCATGGCTTTTTATCGGTATCAGCAATCAGGATGTTGCACCTAATTTATTTCAGCACGTTTCCAAGAATGTTTCAGTGCCTTTTCGACACACAGAGCTGGTCAATTATCTTTCTGTTGAAGCTGAAACAGGATGAAACTTGTTGAAGATTCCATCTCTGGTCCAGCTTAAGATGCTAATGGAACGGTCACTAAAACACTATTCTTGACCAGAACAGAAGGGTTTTGGATAATGCCCCACCAACCAATCACCTTTGGTATAAATGACTGCGTTTGATCTTATCCACCTGAGGTGTAAACTGACATCTTCTACACACTACTGAAAAAAAATTAAGAATAAAGGAAAGAGCTGCTGATGCTGGAAACCTCATACAAAAACAGAAAGTGCTGGAGAAACTCAGCAGGTGTCGCAGCATTTATGGAGAGAGAAACAGTTCAAATCCAGTGACCCTTTTTCAGAACAGGAGAATCACCCCCCGCCCCTGCTTTTGTTGGGACACATTGTTCTGTCCGCTATAGTTTGTTGGGATTCTGTTTAACTGGACTCTGCAGACTGTTTGCTGCAATGTGCTCTTTAAATACAATCTTTATGCTGAGAAGAACAAAAACAGTAAAACTTGCAAATGTTATTTGTTGGAAGTCAGAACCATGCTCCACTGTGACCAGTACATTCATTTCCAAGTATTACTGTCTTTATTTCCCCTCTCGGAGGTGAATATCTTTCATGTGCAATGACATAGACTGTTTGCAGTCAGTCCTGATGTAAGATGACAAGGTGTAGAGCTGGATGAACACAGCAGGCCAAGCAGCATCAGAGGAGCAGGAAGGCTGAC